TTCCTGTTCAACCACTGGCAAAGATTTGTTGCACAAGTGTTGCAGCATGTGTGTGGGGCCCACCTCTTGTCCTGATCTCCAATTTTGCAGCCAAAATAAAGGTGATAGGCTTTCTTAACTATAGGTTTATACTGCGCTTTTGTGATGCAAAAGTCACTTCACCACAAACATAGCAGAAGTTATCTGCACTGTTCAGACAAGTACGAGGCATCTCTGCTCACTTTGGCTAAACAGAAATGTGTCCCTTTGCAAAATCAAACACTGACAAATAAGAGAGCACAACATTGTATGATTTCTAGAGCTGATATAGGGCAATTTGTTCAGCAGAGTGATGTAAGCTTCGTTATGATTGCATCATCCATGACTGCTAGGAATAACATGATGCAATTCATATCATGTATGACGCAATACCAGCGTCAGATTGCATCATTCATTGTTTTGCCTAAAAAGCAAGTACTGTCCAAACCCAATCATAGATTTATTCATAGATCCAGTCAAAGATGTATTTTAGTCACTTCTGGTTTAAATTGAGATCCCTTCCCTTTATAACTCACTTATCCTCCGCCATTCCCAAGTCAAGGGTCATATATACTGACCCAATAGCATATCTTGAAAACTTGAGCCAATCAACAATTTTAAGCATCATTTTCGTTCTCAGTGACCCAGAATTAGTAAAGTTTGACTACATTTATTTCAGAAGCATTTTGGCTGTAGAGCAGTGTAATATTAAACAATTAACCCCAAGAAACCAGTGATGCAGAAAGAAAATTCATAACGAATTTTTAGCTGAATGTTCCAAGGCTAGAATCTTGTTAACCAGTAAAACAGAGCTGACTCAATGGTCATTGTTAAGTACAATATGGCCTTTCCTCCCTTCAGATTAGTCCTGTGTCCAAGGCTTTCAGTTCTTGGAGCAGGTACCACACTGTTAAGTCAATAATTCAAACAGCAAGGGGCCAAATGCATTACTGCAGCAGCATAAACTAGCACTCTTAGCTTCCTTAAAACTAAATTCTAGAATCACATTCTTCATGCTAGAAAGGGTTTCTAAATGAACTTTAAACAGTGTGCAAATGCCTGCAAACAAGGCAACTGCTGAGCAAACATTCTACATAGCTGAGTAAATATGTTAAAATGTCATGGCAGCAAAGCACTCGAGAGATGCTTTAGGAATTATTGCACAATCAAGTTCCTTCCCATGAAACTATTTGTAAAAATTAGCAAAGTGAAATTTGAACGATGATACATTCAGAGCTGGGCTTGAATGGATGCTAATATGGAGACTCAAGGTTTGAAGTGATTCTGCTGTATGTTAATGGAAGGCAACACATGGTTGAGGGCAGTAAAGACCCACATTCATTGGGTGGGAAAAAGAAATTCACAGCTTGTGACTCCACTTCAAACATTTAACATTTTACACTACTGTCAAATATCATGGAAAATTACTGTTCTTAGAAGTATCTACAATAAAGTGCCCCTGAATGACAAGATAGAATACTGAAGATCATATTAGAATTGGATCTTTAGTCTCAGTACAAGTTCAGCATCTTGATCAAAGGAAGTGTATCCAGTGGTTCACATATCTGCATGGCAGTTTGTTTGTTTGTGTGAAAGTAGCTAGCTAGCCAGCTACTTATAGCTCATCACCAAAATATCTGAGGTGACATGAATTCATACACTATTGTATTGTTCATCAATATTTGAACCAAAACAGATGATCTTGCACATTTGAATACTGATTCTTATAATGAGGACAAATACTTCTTATGGATAGATCGAACCCCTGGCAGCAACTACAATGTTTCTCTGATAGTAAAATACTGTTTTCTGTAAGCTGTTTTCTGCCTTGGGAAGATTCCCCGATGTTTACGTTCTCTTCAATTTCAATGTACTTTATTAAATAATGCTTTGTATTCCTCAAACTGTAATTTTTCTCTCAAAGGACATTCTACCTGCTAAGATTATGATAATGTACTAACACAGAGAGAAAAAAATCCATATGGTCTTTCTATCAACTTGGATGAAAGCATGTGGATTCTTAATATAAAATCTGATTTAATATGTACTGTATATTAAGCTTCCTCCATAATATTGCTTTTTAAGTTTCTATAATCCTTGGAAAAAATGATATTTAAACTAAGTAGGGTGCTGGGTTGTTCTAGTGTCATGACCATCGAGATAGAAAGAATATTGAGATGTTTTTCATATTCATCAAAATAACAAAATACAAATGCATGCTCTGGGAAAAAAAGAGGAAACTGTCAAGGCTATAACTGCTAGTCTAAACAGTCTGAGCTTATAGTTTTCTGGGTTTTGTCTGTTAAACTATCTCAGCTACTTAGGAGTTAGGTTTATGTAAAAATCTGTTAAGTTCTGGTGGTAAAAAAACCACATCACTATTTTCCCTGAAAAAACAAGCTAACAAACCAAAGGGTATCAGTACCTAGCAGTAAAATAACTTTACAAGATCAATAGATCCTTTAATGCATTGTATTGTATATACAGAAGTGGATTTTAGTGTATATTTTGATTAGCACAAAATCTTTTTAATGACTTTTCAAAATGCCACATCCTAGTGTTCTAAAATAAATGTTTTAAAGGAAAATATATTGTAGCTTTTTCAACAGATTCATGAATGTAAAATATGAAATCAATGCTCTACATTTGCATTTGCACAGTAACTTTAACTTGCTGCAAGGTTCCACAGTAACTGAATAGCTAAGATGCTCCTCAGTTCAAAGCCTCAACATGAAGGACCAAATTCTGGCTTGAGAGCCATATCGGAATATGAACATAAGTATAGATGATTGTGGGTAGGCAGACTGTCTTTATCCATCTATACACCTAACATTATTTTCTTACAATTCTGGCCAAAAACATCAACTTTACACAAACCAATGATAGCACGTTACATATCTGAAAATACCAAAAAGCAAACAGAGGTGTAGTTTGGCCAAAGTGGTCATCTAAAAGAGCATAAACATATCCTTTCTCCCATATCACAGAACCTGCTCCATTCACAGCACATGGACCTTTTAATGTAATATCTGAATACCTCAAAATCATTTATCAGCTTATCTTCACAATATCCTCATTTTACAGGTAGGAACCTGTAGCACGGAGAGATACTCGCAGCCCAGCTAGACAGACTCGTGCTAGTAGGGATCAAGCTAGCATACTAAAAATAGCAATGTGGATATTGTAGCTGAGTCTGGAGCTCACGCTCTCAAGCCCAATCAACCCTCTAGGCTTGAAAGCCCAAGCTTCAGCCCCAGCCACAGTAACCACAGTACTATTTTTATTGGGCTAGCTCAAGTGTCTGCCTAGGCTGGGGGGCTCTCTCCCAGCTGCAGTGTAGACACACTTTTAAATGACTTGCTCAGAGTCACACAGAAAATCTATGGTACAGCTGGGACTTGACACTAGACTTCTTGAGTGCCATTGCCTTAGCCACAAGAATATCCTTCTTCCAGTTGTATGTTGTGGCTGTCACACTGTATTTGGATTGGATGTCCTGATCCTCTGCAGATGCTTCAATATATGTGGGATTTTCCCACGGAGCCAGGGACATCTGAATGCTTGGGGGAGGGGGGAACGGGAGGTGCTCTCATTGTTCTCTTCATAGGTTGGGGTATTGTGCCTAAAATGATTAGCTGGGTGCTCTAAATTTCAGCTCACTGAATTGCCCACATAAATTTGTTCCCCTCTCCACAGATGGACTTTGCCATCGAAGGATATGTTTGGATCCTACTTAGGTTTGTAAAATAGAAGTTGAGGCCTCATGATTTGAAACAGTATTTCTAAAAATTGGTACTAAAATAGTTTACTTCATATCGATCTTAAAGATTCAAAGAACAGGTCAATGCTAATTTGGTAGAGAAGGACTTTGATGCCTATAGGTTTAAAGCTGTCAGCTTAAATTTTCATGGCCAAATCAGGAGTAACAAAAACTATGTTCAGCTAATATTCTGAAGTAAACAACTCACTCCAGCTTACCCATTAAATGCTTGACAAAATGAACATGTTCTTTTGAATCGAGTAAATTCAGTCATTTCTTTTAACTTTCAATGTTAATGTAGATGTTCATATTTTATTGAAAAAGAGACGTGGAAAGGTTTTAAAAATTGATCATGAAGCTAAGTGAATAGATGCCCTGATAAGAGGGAAATATATATTTTCTAAATATTTGTTCTTTTCGCTGGTGTAAATCAGCATGGCTCCATTGAAGTTACAATGGAGCTATGCTAATATACAGCAGTTGAGGCTCTGGCCTTTATTCATTTAATAAAATGTATTACTCATCCAGAATATGTTAACTAAACCACCAGACAGTTATGAACCATTAACTATTAATAGATAAGAAATAATGTATTGAAACATTTTAAATGTAACACATTTGTCAGTGTGTATTTTGTATAATGAAAGCTTGGTAAGCACTATATATAATATTTTCCTTATTTTTTGGAACAAATATACACAAATGGACACTTAAGTTGTACCCACAAAATATGCATGAGTAAGCATAAAGTAGCAAAATAGATAGCTGCAGATGACAAAGGGTAATTGCATGTGCAATCACTTGTCCATGTGTACAGTCATACATATTTGGCAAGTGTAAATTACTAAAGGTGCTTAGAAGATCTGATCTTTTATCAAATATATATTCCCAAACAAACGAAATTAAGGCAGAATTAAGGTTGAGAGTATTTATCAGCAATTTAGGGTAAAATATATTACAGGGATGTTATAATTACCCCAAATCCAAGCATTATAATCCCAGGAAATTCAGAGTCAAAGTTATACTTAAAAGAATTACAACATGTTCAGTATGGAAGTGTACAGGTAGAGCACCCAGATAAATAGCCATGATTATGATTAAGTGATTAGTGTTGGCATCAGTTGTATTTAAGAAAATAAGTACTAAGTAAACAAAATTATTAATCATTTTTATTGTTGATAGTTTGGGGCTCAAATAATGTACTAAGGAGGAATATTTAATAACTTCAGACTTCTCTAGTTCAAAACCAAAAGAGTTGGGAAATTGTTCAGCAAGTCTCTAATGCTGAGAATACAATCCTCTGAAATATTTGATAAAATTATTTAAATTAATTTTGGACAGTAATCAATAATTACAAATCTTTAAATAAGGTTACATTAACCAAACACAAAATTTATCATTTCTTACGTATTGTAGGATACTTATATTCATTATTGAGGGGTTTTAGTTGTCACCTTTAGTTCATATATTTTCTGGATATTTTGAATCCTTCTCTCAGGTCTTTGACTTGTTTTAAAGAATTTAAAATTCATTAAACAAGATGAAAAACTGAGAAAAGTTGAACCATTCAGAAAAAACAAGAGCAGCCCAACACTGAAGATGAGGAGAGAAAAATAATCTGAACAGCATAGATTTTTCCTCATTGCACAAAGTGCCCCTTTGATATATACATACTGTGGAATTTGCTGTAGTGAATTCAGATACAGTGAAACTCTATATATTGCAAAGTAATATGAAAGACATTGCTGCAATATATTGAATCAATGAATACACAGTGCACTGTTACGTTTTTCTGGGGGGGAACAATTACTTTACTATGAAAGGCTTCTATTTATATTTATATTTATATTTTTACTTGCATCCCTTAAATTCCAGGACAGTGGGAACAGAAAATTTTAAAGAAAAACACAATACACAGGAGTTGATGTAACAGTTATCAGTGATATAATATTGGTAATATTAAAAATATTCAGATTAGTATGTTATATTTTATGAAGCTATACAATATAACATTCAGATGATAACACATTTGCCCTTATATTTTTTTATGTCAAAATAAACAAGACAAGTGAAGTGATAAGTAATTTAAATTCTACAAACAAAACTAGACCAGCTGTGTATAAGTGGAAATTATTAAAATAAATTATTCCAGAGGGGAAAAAAATTCTTTAAATTACCTTTTCTGAAGAGAGGAGGCAAATATTGATCCTGTTACAAAATATCTGAATGTAGGGGATATCTTTAGCAGCTTTTGATAGGGGTTCACTTATTTAATTGATATGCAAACTAGCAATAGGTGTGTTGTGGAACTGCTATGTGGAAGTCTTTCATATACTATCAGAAAAGAAATATGAACACTTTTGGAGTCTCATAAATGTTCATAACTCAGTGGAAAATTGTGAATAAGATTATTTAGATCATGCCATTGTAAACCTAGGAGTGTAATTTTGACTTTAAAATGAGTCTTGGAATAAAGTGTGACATGATGAAAAATAGGTGAATTATTGGGTGAAGAATTCTAATTCTTAACAGTTTGATTTCAATCTCAGACATCTCCCATTTAATATCTTATATGGACACAACATCAATACTGAATGTAGAGATATCATATCACACTCTCACAAATCCATCTACAGTGTGTGTTCGGGGTGGGGTTGGAGTGCTGAAGGTTATTAGCCTGATTCTGATCTCATTTATGGCTTCTCGGATGTCAGTATACGCCATTGATATACACTACTGCAAGATTGATCAGAATCAGGCTCTTTGCAGGAAGTTGTCTTGAAGAAAGTAGATTTTTCTTGCTTCTAAACTTCTCTCAAGTTTTCCAGTGACTGTAGCTGGAGTACTGATGCAAGTCGCCCAGAAACTACTTCATCCCATTGTCTGACTGGAGATATAGGGTCTAGAAATGCTGGGTCAGGAGAAATAACTTTAGAAGTATCAAGTCATTGAGAGTAGTAAATTCTAGAAATGGCAGGTCAGAGGGAAAATTAACAACTGGATTTTTCCTCCACCCATTGCACATAGAATAGGAATGGATTGTTCACATCTTTAAAGTGTTGACACATTGTTTAGGAAGCTTCAAAACGGATGATCTGGCCTTAGCAATAGCTCCAATGGAAGTAATTTGTCACCTGGCAGAAGAAAAAAAACAGAACAGTTAATTTATGTTGTGTTGCTTCAGAACGCATTGTGTGATGATGTAGTGTTGCTGACTTTGGTGATCACAAAAATTAAGGAACTGTTTATCTTAAAAGAAGGTAGATGAAGGAAACAAAATACCACAACCTTCTCTAGTCTCTGAAGATAAATACCCAATAGTGGCCTGAACAAAGTAATCCTGTATACATAAACCGCACATTCTGATACTTGGTCTGCATTATGGACCTTATCCTGCAAAGTGCAGAATGCCTTCTGGGTCACAATAGTCAAAAGGGATTCGAGGGTGCTTAGCTCATAATGGGAGGCACCAGCACTTTGCATGTGAGACCTATTATGGTCTGGTGATCCTTGGGAACTACTTAGATTTGGCATGAGGCTGGACACCATCCCAACTGAATCAAATCAGAATATTTTCAGCTAGTACAGATAACATCCCCTCGCAGTTCCCATTAGCACTTTAATAAGTGGTACAGACACTTTAGGACCCACCGTCATGGCACTCCTCTGTCTCCAGTTGCCTAATGAAGAGAAGCAACATTTGCCTGAAGAGGGAAGATAAGACATTGAGGGAGACAGACAAAACAGCTGTGTATATTTAAAAAAAACACATATAAAGGGGGCAGTCTCTTCAGAAGGCTAATACTGCTAGGAAGAATTTATATATAAAAGTGTGTGCTTTTTGTTTTACTTATTTTGCATTATGAATCTCTCTACAATTAATAACCTAAGGATTAATCATAGAACTAGAAGGGACCTCGAGAGGTGATCTAGTCTAGTCCCCTGCACTCATGGCAGGACTAAGTATTATCTAGACCATTAAGGGCTGGTAGGGAGAGATTTTATTTACCATAGCCTCTCTAAAACAAATACTAGCCCTCTTTTCCCAAAAAAGAGGGATGAGAGCTTTTTCCAGACCCAAAAAAGGATCTCCTATTGGTTGAGGAAAGGACTAACTGGGCTTAACTATGAACACTTTATAATCCATTGGGTAATGTCTTAAGTAGAGGAAGAAGTATCACAACTTAGCATACATATAAAATAATTTGTTATTCTAAATGGACCCAAGTAAATATGGATGCTGTTTGGAGATATATAAATCTGTATAGTTTCAGTAACTACACAGTTTTAATTTATTTGAGCCATTTGCTGAGTCCTCATTCAAACAGACCCTTAATGTAAAACAATGTTGTTGAACAGAATAGACCTCAAAGTCATTAAAAATTTATGTTATCATTACTGTGCTGTGCCTTAAACAACCATGGTTTAGGAATATAAGACTCTGTACTCTCCTGAGTACATCACATTTGTATGGAAGTCACATTGTTTTTCTATTACAGACGGGTTTCAAGGCAAAAACAGAGACACATTTTCTTTCTTTCTGTATATTGAGTTTCATTTACATTTTTGCAGGGAATGTCACTTAAAATAGGTGACATCCTGACAGCTATGGAGAATCACGGAAACTGGACGCTCTTTGATATTGTGTTGGAAAATGCCATCAAAAATCTAGTGTACGGCACTGTTACTCAATAATCCTGAAAGGGGAGTGTGGATGATTTGCAAAGAGTTCAGCTTGCCAGTAGACTTACTTTATAATGATTACATTCACTTCGGCCCCTGTCTTGCAAGACTATGAAAGCTTAACTTGCCTATAATTAACAGAATGAGGGAAACCGTGTACTTTAGCTGTTGGAATATGGAACTGGAAATGAGACACAATGGGTCATCTTCTGGACTCTGCCACTGACTTCCTGGGTAAGTTTGGGTAAAACACTGGACTTACACTGGTGTGAATGAGGTATAACTCCACTAAAGTCAATGAAGTTACATTAGTGTAAAACCACTGTGCATAAGAGGAGAAATGAGCCCAATATCTCTGTCCTTCTGTTGTTCCATTTGTAGGTTTGAGATATTAACTACCAGCCTTTGTAAATTACTTTAGGATTCTCAGATGATAGGCACCATATAAATTCAAAGGGAATCATCTGCTTGTAACCAGAAAAAAAAAGAGATAGTTGTGAATTACAGAAATTAGATTTTTTTTTAAAAGTTAGTTTAAAAATAGGATCCAGATTACACTTCTCTACAACCAAAGAATAAAATGGTAAACAAAAAATCACACCTGAAATGAGTACTTTTTTGTTCTACAAATAAAAGCACACAACTCATATTTTAATATCAATAGATATCAATGGATGTGCCCTCTCTCCCCCGCCACAGCAGCCCCTGAGCTGGGGCTGGAAAGGAGGGCTGTCTCACCTCAGCAGCCACAGCCCTGGAGCTGGGGAAAGTCGCCTCTTTCTCCGGCTGTCCCAAATTCTCCCCCGCCTTTTAAGACCACTGCCCCCCCCCCACACATACACCTACCTCCTATTTCCCCCAAGGCCACCACCTCACCTTACATGTGCATCTTCTCCAGGGTCCAGGCATCTAATTAGTGGAGCCATGCCCGAGCGGCTCCACTAATTAGGTGGGTGGCCCTTCATTCTCTGGTGTGCGGCCGCCCAGATGCGTACTTTAGAGGGAACTATCTGTGGACCACCTGAATGGAGCTCGCAGGTCACTGGTGGTCTGCGGACCACAGTTTGAGAACCTGAGAAGTGTGAGCAACAAGGGTGATGTCGTGGTTGGAGTCTGCTATAGACCACCAGACCAGGGGGATGAGGTGGATGAGGCTTTCTTCTGGCAACTAGCAGAAGTTGCTAGATCGCAGGCCCTGGTTCTCATGGGAGACTTTAATCACCCTGATATCTGCTGGGAGAGCAATACAGCGGTGCACAGACAATCCAGGAAG